GGTGATCATTAAAATCTGAACCCTCTCGGATTCCCCCCTTTTTTTTCTTTTTCTTTCTTTCTTTTTTCTTCTTCTTATTTTCTCTCCACTAATTTTTAAACCTGAAATTTAGAATGCTAAGAGCTAGGAGGGATATACTATATCTGGTTATTATTCACAAGGTAGTAAGTACATTGTACATTCTGCCTAGCTACATTCTAGTCTAGCTATAGTCTGAAACTGGTCTATTTCTCTTTAAATATGATAACATGCCTAATCATAGAGCAACAACAATTAAGTCGAGGAAAAGGAAAGGATTGAACTTGATCAACTGGCCAAAGCTCTGATTTCAATCTAAACTGACACATCATTTGCAAGCCACAGGAAAAAAAAAATAACACATAAATGTCTATCATACCACAAGAGAAATAGCACAGATATTTATAGAAGCTTAATAAAAAGTCTTCTTTAAATGATAAAAGCTATCATTGTGGTGGATAAGAGACCTACCTTATACTAACACCATTTAACTGACACATAAATGCATTCTCCTGGGCATTTTTCATTATTAATAATAAACAGAAGTCATCAGACATAGTTTAGGAAAACGAGCGAATCTTAAGACATAATAAACTTAACAAGTTGTAAAAATCATGAACATGAATACAATACGATAGCAATTAACAGCTAAAATATTTTTTTAAATATATTTACACAGACTTTTGGAGTGAATTTATAGACTGACTGGCTGAATAATACATCACAAAGGAATCACATTTCACTATATATTGCTAATGTTCCACACAGGAATAAAGCTTTCACTCTAGCATTTTATTTAGGTGTGTGTGTGTGTGTATATATATATATATATATATATATATATATATAAAGGACTAGTAAAACAAAATATCAATGGATATGAGATATAAATTATTCTGAAAGACTATATACACATGAAATGAGAATGCAATAAAAGAATTTTTCGGTCAATATTATTGACATGTGCATACTGAAAACTTATTTGCAGTGAACAATTTCAGCCACAATATTTCTGATTTACTACAATGAACATGAAAAGTGAATTTATGAATACACAGGTTATGCATAAATATAAAATGATTAATTATTCTCTATATAATTATGATACTTTTTAACTATAATATTTGTATCAAGTTTACATAACCAGCTGGGAAAAATAAAGATTGAAATAAAACCTGCCAAAAATGAAAACAAAAAAGTAAATAATAATTAATATAGAGAATAATATACCACCACCAATGTATATATATTTTCTGATTCAAACAAACTAAAAATAACAATATTTAAGTAATTACAAAAAAATGAATGCTGGCTTCATACATTCATACAATTATCTGATTTTTTTTTTTTTTTTTTTTTTTTTTTTCTTCCTTGTATTGTGTATAGTGATCTTTCAATCCTCTGAGCAGCAAAACCTTTTACAGCACTAAAGAAATGCTGAAGTTACTTAGCATTTATTATATTGATCTGTGCTGTAATTCTACTATTTGCTTTCACATTTTATAGAGAATATTAGAAGAATTTTCAGATCATTAAAAAAGTAAAAATGTAAAGAGCAATAAAATACAAATTAGAAGTATATCTCATAGCTGAATGAAAGTACTTCATTGAATGACAGTACTTCATATGAAAGGCCATTCTGAGAAAATTAAATTAAATGTAATAATATTCTCTGGAGCAAAAATTTGCAACTAATATGCCAGTTTCTCTTCAATATATTTTGCAAACAAAAATATGAAGACTTTTGTTTTCTACTTCTTTTTTTTTTTTTTTCTGTTACCAATTTTTGATTCATTTAATTTCTTACCAAGTTTAAGTTATTTTTATTAAAAAGTAGAAAATTCTGTTTTAGTTTTTACATCATTTGAGCAATTTTTCTGCCCAATATAACCCTATCTAATTTTTCTTCACTACTCCTTACACACTTATGGTCATGGATTGAACAGCTTCTTTCCAATTTTACAAATTAGCTCTTGTAATGAAAAGGTGTTTCTCTATTTTTTTACATCCTTTTAGGGTATAAACTTGGGCACAAATTGTTTACGATTAAAGAGTTCATTACATTACAATTTTAAAATTTAACAAACATTTTTGGTTTTTGCATATTTTTGTAAAGTCTGGTTCTTTTTATCAAGTTTAGCATTTTTGCCCACATATTCCATTTTATTGCATATTCATTCAGCTTCATTTGGAATAAGATCCACGAAAATTGGAGGTGAGTTTTGTTAGTCTTACAAGAAGTCTTTATTTAACCCTTTGATGCGCAGTGGTCGCGCCTTGAAACCACCATTTTTCGAATTTTTTTCTCCTCTTTTTTCCGAAATTGAGTGAAAACCAATTGATTACTGTTCTTTTACCTCTAAATAACACAAAATGACTGTAGAATCATACATGTTTTAGGCATTAATACTTCATATTGGATGTCTTTTAAAATTCGTTTTGAATGAGACAAAATAACTTCCTTTTATTAATATAAACAACTTTAAATTTCAAAATCATGAACAATAAAAAATTGCAATAATTAAGCATATATAAAAAAACCCTCTCTATATATGGCATTTGCTATGTGGTTTCAGGGCGAGACCACTGCGCCACTAGAGCATTGTGCCACAATGCTCACAATTCTCTAGAGGCTTGGTGGTCGTGCCTTGAAACCACTGCTCTTCTCAATGGCGTTTGCTAGCTTTCCAAATAGGAATGTTTATTTTTACCCGGATATAGATAAGGGGTTTTGAAACCACAGAGTTATTTTATTACTAAACAATACATGCACATGCCCAGTAGAAAGGTCTTTTTTTTCCAGAGACTTTTCTCTGACCTCAACACACTTGCTCCCCAAGCTAGTATAAAGATTTTATAAATTATTTCCTGCAATTTAAATTTAATGTAAATATACTTTGCTACAATTAAAAATAAAATTAAAAATATTTTCTGAATATTTTGGGATGAAATATGAATAAAATAAGTATGAATGGGAAACAAACGATCCGTACCAAAGCCGAAAAGACCAAGCCCCCCCCCATTAATATATAAAAACCACAAATTTCATGTGCCAGATGAAAAGAAACTAAATAACGCTGGACATATACCAGTGAAATTTAGATCCAGGCAGTGTACATTTTGTAGCACAAGGAAGAAACCTCATAGAACAAGATACATGTGCAAAACGTGCTATGTGGGTCTATGCATGTACCAAAAAAAAAAAAAAAAACATGCTTTGAACAATGTCACAAAAAATATTTTTCATTGAAATTAAAAAAAAACACCGAGGTTTTTTTTATCCTTATTTTACTGAGTTTTTTAATCCATTTATCCAAACGTCCTTATTATGTAGGTACTTATATTTTCACTGCTATAGAAAAATTACATAAAAGCTTATTTTTAAATTTTTTCTGACGATTTACTTTGTAAACTAATTGAAGCCAGAGAATAAGCCGAAGTGCATATTTTGCAGACTCTGCCACGTGAGCAGCTACAGGGGCTGCAGCGAATATAAGAAAAGGTTTGAAAGGAAGAGCAGTCCTCCCTAGCCTAAAGTACCTGATTTCTCTGAAGAAAACTTTTCCAGTTCAAAGACAGCCCAAACCCCGGTGAAGAAAACCCCCCTCAAGCCACATACGGCGAGAAACTGCAAGGAAAAATCACCCCACTGCCAAAAGACCTAAACGATGTCTTAATTGTATCCAAGATGAAAAAATCAATGCATTCCTAACTGCCATCGTATCCTGTATTGTAAAGATCAGAGCGGCAAAAAGTTCAGCTGAAAAACTACAAACCAGATTTCAAGCAGCAATGTTACTCTTAAAATTTGCAGAATCAGAAGACTAGAATAGATTTAGAAACGCCCTCCAGGACTAACCAATAGGAATACAGGAAATCTTCACGACTATGTTACGGACCTAATTTGTCTCAATTTGTTAGGCAGTTTACCTTCTTCTCCAGAGGCGGTTTACGAACGGCTTTCACCATCGCAACAACTTGTGAGAATCTCTTATTTTGGAATTCTCTGCCTACTTCAATCAAGTTATGCTAGGAATGTCATGCTATTTTGCCATGAGTTACACTCAGGATGAGGCTTTAAGCCTAGGCACCTTTATACATGTGCTCCGTACCTGAGCCTTTGTAAATTAATGTAAAAAGTTATACAGTCAAAAGTTGTTAATTCGGACACCCATAATCCGGAATGATCTATAATCTGGACCTCAAAGCTAAAAACTTTCTGTACATGCGCCGTGTTGACGCATGCGCATAGGCATTTACGCGTGCGCGTAAGACCTTTACGACTGCGCATATGCGTGTGCGCAAACGCAGAATACGTTTTCGCATGCGCGTTTTAATGTATAACGGACGGTATAAGCTAAAATTATCTAATTATATATTTCAGTTAATGTTGATGATTGTGTTGTTCCTTAATCTTCGAAGTGGATCTGGCTTATTATTTTTTGCAGACTGTAAGAGCAATTTTATAAAAGTAAACTTGAACTTTCGATTATGTCAAATACAATTTCCGATGCTGGAGCTCCCAAAGGATCTACAAAACGAAAGTATGTTTCGATGTCCATAAAACAAAAAGTGGAATTGCTGCAAAACATGGATAAAGACATGAAAAAGGTGACAGAGAGGTTAGTGAAAATGAAAATTTTTGATTGACAAGTTAGTCGGCATTCTTGGCACAGCAATTACGGGACTTGAACAGCAGAACTTTGTAACTGAACAAGAAATTATGTTTGTTTATAGAATTAAAGAGAAAGTATTATCACATAAAACGAAGCAACTTCAACAACTTACATTGAAAGAAATGTTTAATAAAGCAAACAAATAAATATTAAGCTTTTTTTTTTTTTTTTTGTAAATTTTGATACTCTTTAGATCATAATTGTTCTTTATTTCATAAATTACGGTTTCATATTTTTAATTTTAGAATTTCTGCATGCCATCTTACGAGATTTAAACTGATGATCTATAATCCGGAATCGCCGAAGTCCCGACGTGTCCGGATTAACAACTTTTGACTGTATATAATGCAATTCTCACATACATTTTTTTTAATTCATAAATTTCGTCATTATTGGAAACGCGCACGGAAAAAGGTAAGTTTTCTTTTTCCTACTACCTCAGTAAATTTCTCTTAGACGCACTTCAGTTAAAGTAGCTAAAATTAAAGACACCAGCGTCAAAGTCCTAGACACACGGTGGTTTCACAGTGCGACCACCATTCTTAGAACAATGGGTAAGAGTAGATTATTTTTAATTCACATATTATTTGTCGCTAGGATCCTAATATTCAATTTCTAGAGTTTTCAGTTAAAAAAATTATAAAAATAATATCGCGCGCGTCAAAGGGTTAATTCTAAAAGAATATTCTGGAACATTCGCAGGACACAGAAATGTTTACTGGATTTTAGAAATATGACTTGTGGAAGTATTCGGGTCTGACCTCCCATAGATAAAGTTTAAACTCCAGGTATTTTAGCTACTCGCAGTTTTAGCTTTCTACCAAATTTTAGACTAAGGCTTTCAAAATCTTTATTACAAGTTGCCTTCCTGATCACTGTAATGTAATTATTTTGAGAAATTCTTTATTTTTATTCCCATATGATTTTCACACTTTTTAAAATTAAAAAAAAATTTCTATCTTTGGAGAAGAAACTTTATTAATTTATGCAAATTAAAATTTAATTTTAGCTGCTTCAGTGCTTAACTGTATTATTTTTAAATGTACTCAAAATTTATGCATATTTAAAAATTTTTTCGTTTAAAAATCATTAATTATCAAAATATTTAGCAATTATGGCATACTCTATTGGGAAGGCCATTACTCAAATTAATCTCTTTTACTCACTGTTAAGATTATTTATTAACAAAAAATATCATTGTAAAGCATGCATAAAAGGCTTCTATTTTAATGAACTAATTTGCCATTCATATAATACTGTGTGTGTATATATCCATACATTAACTACGTTTTTTTAAATGTGATAAATAAATAAATAAATATGTAATTTTTTTTTAAAATATCTACTGATTATGGCGCTTGCCTAATTTGAAGGCCACTGTCCAAATTAACCTCTTTTCTGATCTTTAAAGTTATTTTCAAACAAAAAGTTATCACTGTACAGCATACACGATATAATGGCACTTCAAAGTGAAGTACGTTTTTATACATACAAGAATATATGTGTATATACACACACATGTATACATAAATTAAAAAATATTACAAGCTGCAGTATTAATTACAGAAATTAAATCAGTAATTTAATACATTAATCCTTCTTTTCTTTTTTATTAAACCAAAAAGCCACAAAATAAATTAAAATTATAAAAATATGTCCACAGAAATATATTGATTTCCAAAAATGCAAACAACTTTGAATATCTAAAAGAAGAAATGCCATTCCCATGTAAGAAAATGATTGCATTTTTATAACCCACCATATCCAGTCAAAGAGAACGTGTTGAAGGTATGTTGCATGCTTACTCATTGCTTTTTCAACTTCCATTTCAACAAAAAGAAATAATGGTGCACTACATAAGCACAAATAATATCCAGGATGAACACCATGCCAGAATGAGCTGACCATCATTGTTATAAGCATCCTAAAAAAGGAAAGCCGTGTTATTTCTAAATTGCACAATACGGAAAGATGTTAATTAACAATAAATTAGTCTAACGTATTATTAGGCTAAGTAATTTCATTTTAAAGAGGTAAATTAAATTTTTAAGTTAATCATATATTCAAAAGATATCAATATAGTTTTTCTTATAGATATAAGAAACAAAATGTCACAGACTCTTATAACTAAGATGTATATAATTAATCAACAAAATCAAGTTAATATTAATTTAACCATGCCCAGGTTATAGCAGCATGTACATCTGGGCAAAAGGAGTACAGATGGCCAAGATAGAAAGCTATGTGCTGTGTAATTAAAATAGTTCTACGCATACTAGTTAGGCTTTAATTTTATAAGATCTGAAGATATTCTGCATTGCTATTAAAACTCTATTATTATGATTAATGTCCATTTGATAAACTATGGCTTTATTTTATTTTTGTATTTTAAAATACTGTGTGTTAAATAAATCAGCATTTTAGTACAGTAGAAAGTCCGTAATCCGGAATATCCGTCCATTATCTGGAATAACCTCAAAGCCACAAACTTATGCATGCATGTAATGTCTTTATACATGCGCCCTTCCGATAGTGAAGAAAGTGACGGAAAAATTATTGAAGATGAAAAAATTTCGATTGACAAGTTAGTTAGTATTCTCGACACGGCAATTACGGGACTTAAACAGTGGAACTTTGTAACTGAACAAGAAATTTTGTCTGTTATAGAATTAAAGAGAAAGTATTAGCACAAAAAATGAATCCGATCCGATCCGAACAAGTATAGCGGAGTAGCGCGCAAAGCGCGCTATTTCCAGCTCATGAGGAGAGCCAGTAGGCACATGACGGTAGGAAGTCTGACGTGGTAGGAGTTAAGAGAATGAGGTGAGGCAGAAGGGGGGCAAGCAAGATGCCGCAAGCCTAGGAATTAGGCCAGACAAGAAGACGCCCCGCAGATGGGGCAGTACAAGGTAAAGCAATCACGAGTTTTTATGATAAGCTACTGTGAGAATATACTACATGACAGAACGAGTTTGTAGGAATACAAACTCTCAAAAGCATACATTTGCAGATATAGAGTTGCAGTGAGAAAAGTGCAGTTTGTAAGATCAGATATCATATAAAAGTTTCGATGAAATAATGCGAAAAGTATTCATAAAAGCTATAAACAATATATATAATTATATATATATATAAAAAAAAAAAAAAAAAAAAAAGCAATTTGAAAAACTTACATTGAAAGACATGTTTAATAAAGTAAACAAATAAATATTAAGCTTCTTCCTTTTTTTTTTTTTTTTTTTTTTTTTTTTTTGGAAATTTTGATAACCTTTAGATCAGGGATGTCAAACTCATAGGTACACTTGGGCCAAACAAACAAGATTTAACTTTAGGCGGGCCGCAAAAAAAAAAAATCAATATTCATAGAAACGTAGATTTATTTAGGTAGCTGAACGCAAGCTACTCACACGCATTTGTAATTTAAGTAGTGTGTGTGTCAGCTTGCTGTGAGTAATCTAACAACACTGAATAAATTATCGTTAATTACTTAGCAGTAAACACTTCATTTTTTTCTTCGTCGATATGTTATTTATTTATATATTATTATTTTCCGATATATTGGCCAGGCCGCAAAAATATTTGTTGTAGACCGCGAGTTTGACATCCTTGCTTTAGATCATAATTGCTCTTTATTTCATAAATTACGGTTTCATAGTTTGAATTGTATAATTTCTGCATGCCATCTTACCAGATTTAAATTGATGATCTATAATCCAGAAAAAACCCTAATCCAGAATCGCTGAAGTCTTGACGAGTCCGGATTACGGACTTTGTACTGTATATTATTTACTGCTATATTCTTAAAAAAGTAAGAATCAAATAGTGTAAAGAACATTAAAATACAACTAGAAATAAATCTCATAGCTGAATGAAAGTACTTTGGCCATTCAAAGAAAATAAAATTAAATATAATTATGTTCTATTCTGATGAATTATATTATAACAGGGTTCGTACACATTTCTGCACATGGGAATCAAGGCCTTTTAAAGACAATTAATGAAAAAAATTAAGGACCCATCAACAAATGGGAACTGAATGAATTCAAGTAAAGATACTAGCTATGCCTGAACTTCACTTTTGAGGTACCATCCTAAGAATAAAATAGATCCACATATAGAATGCATTATTATTAAATATAATTTAATAAACATAATTATAAAACAAATTAGAATAAAATCAACTTTATAAAATTTATCAGGTGCATTAAATATTTTATCCTTATAATAGTTGGGCATATTTGAAAGAAGATTAGTGACATTTTATTTACATTTTACCAACAGGTAGCTTTATGCTGATTTTTTCTTTTATATCTGATTTTGTCATGTACTTGCTCAGTTTAGAGGTTTAGTAAATAGCAGGTAGATTTTATGTCAAACAGCATAGATTAAAATGAGAAGTAAAATCAGCATGATTTATTACAGAAGACTGGCTGTTGCCACTGCTGCTGCTTGCCTACAGAGAAGACCTGCTGATCAGAACAAATCTGAAAGCCAAATGTAGGCATGGTTAGCAAGTTTTGAAAGTTGGTTGTGCTCTGTCTTTCTGATGCAGTTAGTGTCATAACTTCGTGTAGAGTTCTTAGGGTTATAACTCAGTTATTTTTAAGGTTCCAGTTAGCCACTATAGCACCAGAGGTGATAAGTTGTTTTGTATTATTTTAAGTCTCACTAGATGCAAAAACTTAAGATTTACATTAATGTTTAAATTGTTGTGCTTTATCTTATGATTATGGTAAAGATTAATAAAAAGCAATAACTCACTTTAATATGCAGATAACTTTTACATGTGACCAGTTAGTAATAAATAATTAAATTAGCTAGTTAGATACCCTTAGTCATTATAAATTTACATGGCAACTATTAAATAAAAATATTTGTTAAAAACTCGCAATCTATTAACATGTCACAGTTTAAAATACATGTAATTTATGACATTAATTCTTAAATGATATTAAGATAACTACACATTAAAAGCTACAAACCATTTACATTTTGTAGCAATAATTCTCAACAAAATAATTACACATCTTTTTAATTTGAGACTTTTCCAGACATTCTGGCTAATTTATATCAATTTCCTTCTCTTTAAGCATCTTTTCTAATAATAAGAAATTTGTTTCAATTTGCATGTTTTATCTCCTAACTTGTCAATTCCTCGACTATGTACCCATGAGGTTCTACTTGATCTAATAAAAGTTAAATAGTCCAAAACCCTTGACATATGTGAAGCAAATTATCACTATGTCTGAAAATAACTGCAAAATCAAATAAATGTTTAAATAAACCTTTTATTTTAAAAGACCTTAGAACATAAAGACATGTTCTTATGCTAGCAAAATGAACTACAGCTTATGGTGATCCAATTAAACAGGAACAGTCATATTCAAACTAAAAATGTGGACTACTAGTCAAAGACTACTTAAATTAATTTTAATCTAAATTTGCATGATTTCATTCTGGTGAGGAAACAGAAAGGGAAAATTTTAGCAAGGGCTGAAATTATAATCGTATTTGATTTCTTTCTTCAATACATTTCTTCTTCGTTTCAGAATTTTTGGATTTAATTTAAGATTTCTGTTATTCTAAAATGTATATTATTATTTAGAATGTATAGGAAAAGATGCTTACTTTATTTTAGTAATATGAACATTCAGAATAAATATGAAATGATATATAGTAAGGGCCGGTTGCAGAGCCGGCATAGCAGAATTTTTAAAATTTAGTGACACAACAAGCAGCATAATCTAGAAATGGCAAATTTTAGAATTTAGGAAGGCACTAGATAGCAAGATTTAGTATCCACAAAGATTGCATCAGGTGCGAAAATGTGTAACAGCCCTGTGTATGATGCACAGAGCCGTAGCTATGGTTTTCAGCGCCCAGGCACAAATTAAGATTTTGCACCCCCATCTGTATGCCAAGAATGAAGAACATTGCATTCTAAAGTTTTGTAACATCAATTTGGTACCCCATGGATGATGTGCACAAGGACAGATGCCTTCCCTATCCCATCCTAGCTAAGCCACTGATGATGTATTGAAATATATAAGTAAGATCAATCTTCTAAATTAATTTTTCCAATTTCTTTATTAATAGAAAAATTCCTTTCTATAAATGCCTGTCCATGTGATAAGATTAGACACATTTTTGATATTTTCCATGATTGCGTCTAGTGAAAAGTAGGGAAGATAAAGAAAAGATAAACATGTTAAGAAAAAAGATTCTAGTGTTGAAGTAAAACATTAACGCTCCTTTTTACAGCTTTATTGCGCTATACAGCAGATCAAGTTTTCAATGCCAAAGAAACTTGGCTTTGGTTAAGGGGGGGTTAATACCCAAAAGAACTTTTATATCAAAAAAAAAAAAAAATTGCACATAGATTTAAAGTGTTTAAAAGATGCCTAAAAATACTCTTAAATATAAATAATTCTCATTTATAACAAAAAAAGAAAAAATTGTGCCCCGATTTAAAGTATCTAAAGATCATCTAATGCTCTTTTGTGCACTAGTGTATCAAGGGACTTTATAAAACTCTTGCTAGTTTTAAAGCCATAAATAAAAACATCTTATTGGTATACTGGAAAGCAAATCCAAGAGCTTGGTTAACTGCAAATTTATTTAAAGATTGGTTTTTAAATTGCTTTGTGCCAAACATTAAACGTTATTTAAGGCAGAAAAATTTAAGCCTCAAGACTTTATTACTATTAGATAATGCTCCATGTCACCCACAAGATCTGAATCATCTCAACATCAAAATACTGTTCCTACCACCTAACCTTACTTCATTGCTCCAATTATTGGATCAGTGTATTATTTATACCTTTAAAACATATTACATAAGATGAGCATTACAGTAGAATTTAAATGTACCCAATTTGAAATCAATTAATGTAATGGAAGCTTGGAAGAAATTTTCAATCAAGC